TTTATCTTAATGTGAATAGCGTGAGTTGTGATAGATGTTATCCTTGTAAAGAATAGAGTCCCATGAAGTGAGACTTCTAGGGGAAGTTGGACACTGATCATTATAAAGGTAAGGCACCCCCGTGGGTCTAAGGTATGTGATTTATTTTGTGAGCTCTTGATTTGAGTTAATGATATCTTGTGAGATAAGTTGACTGACTTGATCATTGGAGTGCCCTCAGGTGGACGAATCATAGCGGTACTTCTTGTCTTCTTGTGCACAGGTGCTGGCTTAATCTATTATGCCACATGCTCTCCAGCTAAGTTCCATGTTTAGTTGTGTGATTAAAAATCAACACCCACAATTTGGCACTATCTGTGGTCAAAGATCATCATGAAGCATGAATTGGAGAAGTTGGGAGATCATGGAAGGACACATGTCCATACAAGAATTGTGGAGACATATTTTTTGGGTAGTCTATGTGGCCGAGGTTGTTAGTCGAGGTGCCACATGGGCAGACCATGGTGTCGGGATATGGTGCGGAAATACCGGAATCCGAGATATTTGGATGGAGGACTAGAGTCCTAGATGACATCAAACTACCTATTTAGATAGAGATGAGACTCTTGAGGAAGTTTATCTTAATCTGAATAGTGTGAGTTGTGATAGATGTTATCCTTGTAAACAATAGAGTCGCATAAAGTGAAACTTCTAGGGAAAGTTGGACACTGATCATTATAAAAATAAGGCACTCCCGTGGGTCTAAGGTATGTGATTTATTCTATGAGCTCTTGATTTGAGTTGATGATATCTTGTGAGATAAGTTGACTGCTTTGATTGTCGGAGTACCCCTGGATAGATGAACCACCGCGGTATTTCTTGTCTTCTTATGCACAAGTGCTTGCTTAATCTATTCTGCCACGTGCTCTTTAACTAAGTTCCCTGTTTGGCTGTTTGGTTAATCATGGATATTGTTGGCACCATATTATTTTTATTATCATTAATGTACGTAGGATATATGGCATACTCCTACATACTTGGAAGTTGATAGAAATTATGAAAAAACATGGAACACATGTAGAAAAGATAATAGAAAAGTGGAAGATCATCATGTAGCATGAATGGGAGGAGTTGGGAGATCATGGAAGGACACATGCCCATACAAGAATGAAGATGGAAGAATATGGTAGTTATTAGATAGTTATTTTTTACAATTTTTTCCTACAAATAGACATCATGGCTACATTTGTAAACCCCCGACCAAAATCTAGGTATGTCTTTGTCAATTTCATTTATTTTTAAATTTTTGCACTTATTTTTATGTACTACACTTACATTTCATAGGAGTAGATTAGCTTTGTAATCTCAGAACTCGGTCAGCTTAAAACCTTCGAAGTTGCCCTTACTAAAGGTAATATTTTGTAATTGTTTATTCAATTAATCAATTGTAATTTCTGCCCAATCTCTCTCTTCTATTCTATTTCGAATTTAAGTAAAAACTTTTGTTTATCTTCTCAACACAACATAGTAAAATTTTCTTAATTGAGGTTGGTTTATCTTTTCAACCAACACAGATAAATTCTCTTAATTAAGGTTAAGAGAATCTTAACACAATCGCTTGATAAAAATTAGCATTTATTATCTGTCAAGACTTTTTAGATCCTTACTAATACGCTCGAATTATATTTTTAACTTTTGAAGTGTCAAAAATAGCCCACAGATACTCTCGAAGTATTTGTGATCCCCGGTAAGTCTTATAAGTTTGGAATTGTATTTCATGAGATCAATTTTTTTTTTTTTTTTAAATTAGATGTTTTTCCACATTAATTTTATCCTTATTCTTAATATTTGAAAATTTTAAAATTTCAAGACTTTCAAAATATTTATCTATTTTTGATAAAATTTAAAATTTTAAAAACTACTCAACAAAATCTATCTAGTAAGATTTTAATTGAATATAAAATTACGTAAAATGAAAAAAAATTAAAATTTAACACTTTTTTATTTTGAAAGTACGAAAATTTTTCACTCCTAGAATTTCACTTTTAATTTTTTTTTATTTGTCAGTATGGAGTAGTGGTGCAAGTTTCTTGTGTGCATAATGGAAGTTGATTTTTGTATTTGGTATAAGTCTTTTTTTTTTGTGTCAAAATTGTACTAGAAAATATTTTCATATATAATACAATTATTTTCTGATTGTCTCATCTATTTGTAATTTATCCTAAAAATTATGAATATTTGGTGTGTTATAGTGAAAGGTAAACGTTACAAATACTATTTCTGATTTTAACTTTTGCAGTTAACATTAATAATGTTATGAAATTTATGATTATGTTATGAATGATGATATATAAATGTTACAAGCCTTTTGCAGTGAGTTATTTTATAAATTATTTCAATGAAAAAATCACTTGTTTTTATTATAAAATGTTGTGGTTATTGCAGTAGGATGTATATGATATATATATATATATATATTTGAAAAATTGTAATTTAATGGAAGTTTTAAATTTTTTTTTGAATTAATAGTAAATTTTATCAATTTTAATTTTAATAATTAAATTTAAAAAAAAAATCCATGAATTTATAAATATTTTAAAAAACTGATTTGCATCCCCCCCCTCTCTCTATCTTTTAAATGCATACCATATTTACATCTTGTAGAATTTTTAGCCATAATGATACTGTACTGGTATTTTATTATGAATTATTTTGCTGGTTTCAATTTATAAGTAACATTATTTAATTTTGAATATTTTTTTTTTTGGTGCAAGCTTTTGCTTCCAAATAATATAAGCTTAATTTGGACTACTTTAGTATCATAAATTTGAAATAATTGAATTTAAAATTAAATATAATTACTAATTCATGACGTGACATGTACAGAATAAAAATTTCACTCATTCTCGATTCTACGAGAATTTTTGTGAAAGATTTGTGTTATGCAAACAAAATCTATGTACACCATGACATTTTTCTTTGATCTATGTACACCATGACATTGGCTACATCTCATTCATATTTCAATTTATTTTACTTCTAAAGGGTGAAAACTAAGATGCTAGAATGGGTCCCAGAATGCTTGTAAAGGGAAGAAGTGAAGAGCATGTTTTGGTAGGGTGAGGTTAAATGCCCTCATTAAATTTCTTTTTTCAATTATTACATTACTCTTTTAATTAGGAAAAATTTTTACGTCAATAAAATATTACATGACATTATTTTTTGTCAATCACAAATATATATATATATATATATGTATATATTTTTATTATTTCTCAAACAACCCGTATAAATGTAATAAATTTTACTATCAAAATCAATCACAATAATAAAAAATATCACATAACATATACCTATCTGTATATAAATATTTCTCAATTACTTGTCTCGGAATGCATCTGTAACGCCCTCAAAATTAATCTATTATATATCATTGACATGCATTATTTAAAGAAGACATTTTATTAATTCCCCTCTATTTAGTTGAAAATTTTGAAGAGAAATTAAAAAAAAAAAATACACTCACCCCATTTATTTTTTCTTTATTTATTTATTTTTAAATTTTTAATCAAACGCAACATAAATATGTAATAAATAAAAAAAACAATACATCCTAAAAAATTATTATAAATAAAATTATAAATACTTTTTGAGATATTTATTAATAAATTCTATCACAAATAAATACTCCAATTAGTTCTAATTTTTTTTATTGATCTATTAAGTCTTATTAATAAAAGGTTTCTTTTCTTGTGATCTTATTTTTTTTTATTTTCGTAATGTTTTGGTAAACAACTATATTTTTTTATTAATTTGACATGTATGATGCAATATTCCAATGTGATAGATATTAATGTGACATTTTAACGATGTGACACTTCAAAAAAATTTAAAAAAAAAATTGTGTACTTTTTCTAAATATGACAACATGACGAGTATGATGTGACACTCTAAAACTTTTATTTCAAAAAAAATTAAAAATTTCTTAGTGTACTTTTTTTAAATGTGACAACGTCGCGGATATGATGTAACACTTCAAAAAAAATAAAAACTCCTTACTGTATTTTTCTCAAATATGATAACGTAGCGTGTATGATGTGACATTTTAAAAAAAATTAAAAACTCCTTACTTTTTTTAAATATGACAACGTGACGGATATGATGTGACACTTAAAAAAAAATTAAAAACTTCTTAGTATATTTTTCTCAAACATGACATATGACATTCTAACGTGACGAGTATGATGTGACATTCTAAAAAAAATTAAATCTCTTTAATATTCTTTTTTCAAATGTGACACTCTAATATGACGGGTATAATATCACACTAAAAAACTCTTTAATATACTTTTTCTAAATGTATCACTCAAATGTGACGGACAACTGAGTCCATCCAAAAGAACTAAATGAATGACAAAAAAAAAAAATTGAAATTATATGAATTACAAATTCAAAATATGAGACTTATTCATCAATCTCCCATACTATTTTACGGTCTCAAATATTTTCTTTAAAATCTATGTTCAAAACTTCCTACTGCAATTGCAAATGAATGGAGCTAACCCAAGTTATGTCATAAATTTTTTAAATTTGATTTAAAACCTAGTGAGCTTAAAACAGGTTGTTTGGTTTTTTTTTGGGCTAAATAATTACAAAATGATAAAAAAAAAAAGTCAAAAAATTACAAAATGCCAAAAATCACAAAAAGAAAAAAAAAAAAAAAAAAATCATTCCAAAGCTAAAAGGCCAAAAAAACCAATCAAAAATACCAAATGAACAAAAAAATCCCAGGTTAAAAAAGTTAAAAAAATAAAAAAACTAACTAAAAAAATCATTGCCAAACGAAAGCTAAATTTAACTTACTTAAATAATTAATTATTTTTAAACGAGTTTTAATGAAACTAAACTAAACTAATTTATTTTTTTTTTATAATTTTTATTTTCTTATCCACAAAGTTGTCTAAATTTAATTTCAAAACTTATATTCAACTTTTAACATATATAACGAGTAATCCGAAACAAAATGAAACACGAAAGCATCATGTTGGGTTGGTTTTACAACTCTAATTCACAATTGAAAACAACACAAATAAAATAAAAACAAAGAAAATGGAACACAAACGCATCAGCTTGGGTTCGTTTTACGACACTACTTCCCAATTGAAAACAGCAAAAATAAAATAAAAACAAACAAAATGGAACACGAACGCATCAACTTGGGTTCGTTTTACAACTCTACTTCACAATTGAAAACAACAAAAATAAAATAAAAACAAATTATTGTCGTACCGCTATGTAACCCGCCGGAGATCGATTACAACCACGCTTACATTGTCAGCACTCCGCCTGGCCAACGCCAATTTCGTCAACAGCATAGACGCGTCCGAGCATGCCTTGTCGCCATGTTCTTCCCCGGCGGCCTCACTCACCAGCGAGCACATCTTGCTTGTCGACTCCCCCGCCGCTGGTGCCTTCCCTCTGAGACACATTCGGGCCACCCCACAAGCCATGTCGTTCGACACCACGTCCCATAAACCGTCGCTCGCCAGTATCAGGCAGTCGTCCTCTGCCGTCCGATCTGTGATTGTCACTTCAGGATCACAGCTCACGTATGGCTTCAAATAGTTATCTCCTGAATACACACACAAGCATAACAGTAGCTAGCGTAAGCATATGAAATGATGCATGGTGCTATTCTGCACAGCTGGTGATAAAGATCATGGTTTTTATCAAAAATATGTATTTTAAATAATAATATTAGACAATAATGATCAATAATTTTTCTTACCAATGGCTCTTGACATAGCGAGAACACCGAGAACCCGTGGGCCGTCCCAGTATATAACCCGCCCCCCGGCGGCCTGGATCCTGCTCAGCTCATCTGGCCGATCCGGCTTCAATCCAAACAACACCAGATTTTAAAATAAAAAGGACAAAAAAAAAAAAAAAAAAAAAAAAAAAAAAAAAGAAAAGGGGAGGGGGGGACAAAGCCGTAATTTCGTATAAACAAACGAAAATCATACTAACAACAAATCAGGATCGTTGATTTAGCAATCAACTAGAGCTAACCTTGTGATCGGTTGAGAGAGGGACGGCCTTGCCGTTGCGGCACAATACAGCTCTGGAATCTCCGCAGTTGGCGACGATGATCTTATCGGGAGTCACGACTGCGACCACCGCCGTTGATCCAACTGTGTTGCACTCCGGCGTTTGGAGCTCGCACCGACAATCGGCACGCAGAACGCTTTCGTTCCATGCAATCACCTCATTGTCCATGCGATTGAAGCTTTTCTCCATCGCGACCTTCCACCCCTCCGTACTCGAATCCTTCTTTTCTATCTCTTCCTTTACAAGTTCATGTAACCGATCTCTACACTTCATCGCCACCTACAAAGAAATCAAACAAAAAACTCGGATCAATTCGAAACCCTAGAAATTGAACAACTACGTGATTTTTATGTGTGATAATACGTACATGAGAGCAGCCATGGCCGTCGTAAACGGCGTAGTAATGCAATTTCGTTGCGGTTTCGTGTTCTATTCGGCAAAAGGAGGGGTGGATCGCCACCGCGTCTTCCATGTCTCTCCGCCTTCCACAAACCGAGGCTACACCGAACTTCGGATACACCTCCTGAACAACCAGAGCAGTCAATAGCGATGGACTCAGAATCGGATTCACCAGAATCGCTTGGCCACCTGAGATCATCATCTCTTTCGTCTCCGGTACTCTTTCGTTTCCCGAACCCAAAAGTTGTTCTCCACTGTTCTCGACGGCGTTATCGCACTCCCGCGAAACAGATGAGGCCGTAGGGAGATCAAGTTTCTGACGCTTCTTCTGTCCGTTTACAGGCTCAGACGACGCCATATCGCCGACGAACTTGAACGGCCGGACCTGCACGCTCCGCCGCCTCACACCTCGGGAACTCGTATTGCAAGCCACCGACGCCTCGCTCTCACGCTCTACTCCGCAGCATATCTCCGCCATAACAAATCTGCACCACCACCAGCACCGGGTACGCTGCTCTAAAATCCAGTGTTTAATTCGTGTATTTATTGTCCGAACTCCACAGATCTCAAATTTCAAACCACTTGAAAACCCTAGAAATCTGATATTTCAGAACATTTGAATCAAAATTCAAACTAGAAGAATGAGAGAGACAGAGGGAATAGTCGCGTTAAATTGACCACCATGGCAATGACAGAGAGAGAGAGAGCGCTTTTCTGGTAAAGAAATTGACAAGGTACTTCTCGGCCAGAAACGAAAACCGATCTCCACCGTTCATGTGTCGTCTACAGCTCTCCACCCGTCCGTCCAAATGAAGCACGTGTACACAATCTTCGCTTATCCGTACGTGGCCCAATCAGAAATCAACAGCGAGATGAGAAGGAAGCTTCAATTCACGACACGCATGTGGTCCTTGGGACGACATCGCGAGAGATATTAAAAAAGATTTTGATTTTAGAAAAGAGGGGAGACACGTGTCGGGATCGTGGGGTAGGGGAGAATGCTGTGGGATTATAAAATTCCGTAGTTTGGGTGGTGTGGGCGAATTGGGATCCTCCCCTTGAGCCCCTCCTTCATTCCCTCCTTGCATGGGCCTTCGGGTCTACTTTGAGGCCCAGTTTTGATAATTCGAACCGTTCATATTTTTAGATTTATTCAGTATATTATACCTGTAAAAAATCAAGTTGATCGAATATCAAAAAGTATGTGTTCGGAAAACTGTTTATTAAAAAATAGTTTGTAGTCCCAATTTTCTGAACGGATACTTTCTGATATCCGATCAACTTGATTTTTTTACAGGTATACTATACTGAATAAATCTAAAAATATGAACGGTTCGGATTATCAAAACTGGGCTTCAAAGTGGACCCGAAGGCCCCTGCAAGGAGGAAATGAAGGAGGGGCTCAAGGAGGGGATCTGGAGGCCTCTATGGTCCAATCAGAGACGTCTACGTAGCGGGTTGTGATGGTGACGTGTGGGCCATGATGTCTACGTCCGCTGACGCCTAATAAGAAGAATCTCTGAGGTAGCTGTTTAGCTTCACGCTTTGACACCTGTTCTAATCAGGAGGCCCCACGTCGTCGGTGGAGCGGGACACGTTTCAAAAATTTTCGGTTACAACCCAATGGAATTTTGAATTAGCCGTTTGCCCACAGACTTGGGGTGTATGCGTTTTTGGAAATGAAAATATTATGAATCATAAGGTTTCGTTTAGCAACTCTCATTTTTAGTTAAAAAGTTAAAAAATTATTAAATTAGTCAAAAAGTTAATAATTCATACAAAAAAATTAAAGATTCTCTTTTCTCTCTACTTTTTATACATCTTTTCGTAAAAAGTTAAAAAGTTATTTCAAACATAATAATTTTTTTTAGCTCATATTTTAGCAAAATAATCAAAAAATTACTAAATTAGCATGTTCCCAAACGAGACCTAAATATTATTTCAAAATAAAGAATCATATGATATATAAATTTAAAGTTAAATAAGATATAAGTTATACTTAAACTAATTATGATTTATAATTATTAAATATTTTACTAAGGCTTCGTTTGGGAACAGGTTACTTTAGTAACTTTTTGACTTTTTAGTTAAAATATAAGGTAAAAAAAATTAATATATTTGGGATGACTTTTTAACTTTTTACGAAAAGATATGTAAAAAGTAAAGAGAAAAAAGAATTTTTAACCTTTTTAACTTTTTAATTAAAATGTTAACTTGTCAAACGAGACCTAAATATGGTTGCTTTGCTAATTGTATAACAAATTAATTTTATGTTTTGTTAAAATTCATTATATACCCCCATTTAATTCCAACCAAATTAGCCCTCTAATATCTGAAAGTCTAACCCTATCTCCATACTTATTCATTACCGCAAACACTTTAATCTCATCATCCTTAATTGTCATCTCTTACTCTTAAGCCTCATTTGGGAATTACGTGCTTTTGTTTAAAAATCAAAAAATCATTATAAGTTGTCATATCACTCTGTCTACTTTTCTGTACTTCTTTTTGTAAAAAGTCAAAAAATTACTAAAAAAATTTGTTTCCAAACGAGTCCTTAGTCTCTTACCGTCATCTCTTACTCCTAGTCTCTTTCCCACCTCGTACGTAACCATTCTCGCCCTAGTCTCTTACCGTCATCTCTTACTCCTAGTTTTTTCCCCACCTCGTATGTAGCCATTTCTGCCATTCTTTTCTGGTACCCTCATTTGATACAACTTCCTCAATAATTTTCGTTATCCTTAATATTTATGTTTTTCAATAAGTTGAATTCTTCACTATAGCGATTGTGATCTAGATTTGGCAATGAGAGTTATAAGGAGTCATTGTAATGAAATGGGCTATTAAAAAAGGTGAAGAAGGGTTGTGGACGACACTACAATTTAAAGTAGGGTCCGTAGAAGGGGTTGGGAGTGCCTCTAAAGGGTAAGGACGGACGACCAATGGTGGTGATGGTAATTATAATGGTAGTAGTAGAGAGAATTAAGATTAGAATTTAAAATGTTAAGAATAAAAGTAAAATTTAAAATCCACGATAGGTTAAAGTTAAAACTCCATAATAAAGTTAAATTGTAATAAAAAATGTTGTCTATGTGTGGGGTCTAAATAATAATTTAAGGGTGTGGGGTCTAAATAATAATTTAAGGTGCTATTAGGTACTTCTAAAATACCACATGAAATTATTTACATGCTAATCCAAATCAATGGACAATTTAAAAAATATATATATAATTGAATATTTTTTTTAAAAAATTAAAATTATATAATTATGAATGATTTGTTTAAACAAAAGCAAATTATACTTTTAGATGAAAGCTCTTCAAAATTCTTAAGTTAGGGGGTTTAATTTTATTCTTATTTCAAGTAACACTCCGTCTGATTGTGTAGAAAATACTTTTTGGATATTTTTTTTATAAATATTTTATGGTGTTTGGTACAATAGAAATCAAAAATCAATAAAAAAAAATATTCATAGTCAACAGAAAATAAATCTATATAAGTAGAAAATATTTTCTACTTTTAAAAAGTAGAATGCATTTTTCGGACTAAAATTTTATCAATGTCATCATACTATCACTACCACTACCACTCTTACCTCTACCATCACGTCACCATCACCATGGTCACTACAATTGTCACTATCGTCGCTGCCGCCATCCCACCATTATGCCACTACCTCCACCTTCATTCCACTATCAACAAACATAGAAAAATATTTTTGCTAGGAAATATATATATTTTCAACCGTGCTGGGACCCCCAGTGGGGTGACCCCTAGCACCCCAGTGCCACTTGTGTTGCTGTGAGAGCAAGACTTGAAAAAAAAAAGATAAATAAAAATTTGGGCCAATCAAAAATCAGTGGGGGCGGTGGGGGTCACCCCCACTGGGGTCTGGGGCAACTAGGGTTTCAACCCCCTTTCCATTTTTTCCGTTCATGGGTTCAGAGGACTCTATCTAGGGTGGGCTCTCAATTATTAAAAAATATATCTATATAATAAGGAAGCTCGGTATTTGAATTTTGATGTGACCTTTATACCTGTGTCAAAATTTGAATCGTTCGATTGATTTAATCTAATGGCTCAAAATATCTCACCCCATTTGTCTCTGATTTTCAATAGACAGCCTCTCACTTGCTCTCACTTCCGTTTGTCTCTCCCATTTATCTCTTTTTGATTTCAAATTTTGAAAACGCAGCCCCTCTCTCTCTCTCTCTCTTTTCTCCATCAGAGCCCAACCTTCCCTGTCGGAGCCCATTCCCTCTCATCATCTTCTCTCTTCCTCCTTCCATCTCTCCGACGGCACCCCCCCTTTCTCTCTACCTCCAGCGGAGCCCATTCTGCCCAACCCTTGCCAACAACTGAGCCCCAAACCCCGCATTACTCTCTTCATCATCTCTCTTCCTCCCTCACTCTCCCAATCTTCATCAGCAATGGCAGCCCCAAACCCCATTGACGACGGAGCCGTTGCAAAAGAGGAACAGGGAACAATGGTGTTCAACAAAGAAATAATCCGGTATACATACGGTTCAGGTGAGCAAACCTGATAAAGATTGCACTCCGTTGACGGCACATGACTTGCGTTAGCCTCATACACAGAAGCGAAGAGGCAGCAAACCCAAATTCCGAAAGAACCCTCTAAACTCCAAGGTAAATAATTAGATATATATTACCAGAGGGATAGGTTCCTTCATATCTTATCTCTTTATATTTTTTTATATTTTTTTTTATAAGGTTCAATTTTAAACCTGCACTGATGATTCGATGAGGTAGATGATTCAGATGATTAGTACGATTTTAGAATTAAGCCCCATAATAAGAGTGTGGAGAGATATAGATAAATAAGGTATAAATGAGAGTCTATCTCTGAAAAAATAGCAACAGACGTACTATTAGTTTGTGATTGGTGTGTGAAATGTGCCATATGATGTCTCATGGGTACTGAATAATTTTCTTTTATACTATGTTTAGACGATGAATTTGAATAGAGATTTGGAACGTAAAATAGAAATAAAAAAAAAATTAATTTATATTTTATTCATATTTATCTCATTTTTTTTAAATTCTTATTTAAATTTATGATCCACAATTTAATAATTCTATTTTCACGTCCAAACATGGTTTACTTCCTTCCAATTGCTAATCCAGTGAAAGTAATGAAACATGGCCATTGGCCTTTATCTCTACTAACTCCGAAGTTGTTGAAGTGTAAGGAGGCTTAGACAGTGACCATTTCAACTAACAAAGATTTGATTAGGCAACGGTAGATAGATTTAGATAGATAGATTAAATTATTACTGACAACTGAAACATAAAGGGTCAACAAACTTATAAATATGTTTTGTTTTATTAACAAAGGGTATTGCTTTAAATCATCTATATAACAAGGAAGCTCGGTTTTTGAAAGTTTTGTTTATTAATTATTTGAATTTTGAAGTTTGTTTTTAGAATTTGCATGTTTTGTATTGAATTTTAAGTGTGTGATTGATTTAAAGCAATTTCATGTTTTTTTTTTGTGTATATAATTTACGATTGATTTAAAGCACAAGCTAGAAACATGCTGTTATTGGTGCATGCTCGCATAAACAGCTGTTAGAATACAGAATTCAGAAACGACTTTGAATTAGAAATGCACATCATCAAATCATGTTGCTCCTCCTACATCACGCTTTTCATAAGGATTGTTCC